CTGCCGCAAGAACTTCGTTTAAAGGGCGAATAGAGACATGTTCCTTTGTCTTTGAGCAACTTGGAAGCCGCGTGTAGCTAAACGACCTTACGGATACCTTCAAATGGATTTCCATGTAAAAACTACAAACGGAAAATATAAGGAAAATAGCTATTTAAATTATTATGAAGTAAAAATTAATATGAAGTAAAATATATATTAGGATTATGATTTGTGTAGTTGAGTATTCTCTTAGCAGACGACAGACACTTGCCATGCCCGCTTCGCCGAATTCCAAACGATACACATCATCCGCTTCTACTTGCGACCATGTTGTAGATTTTGCGAACTCGGAAAAGGAGGAAATTGGAAAAGTTCAAATTACCTCCGACTTATCAGTGAAAATAAACGCTGGTATGACCTCTCCTTTAGTAATCTTGTTCTCTCTTTCTACAACAGAATTCCGTTGTATCTAATCCTCTTCGACAATACATTCTTTCATACCTTCCCCAAATAACAGATATCTTCAGTCTACGCCGACCGACTCTGGCGATTGCCGACCGACGCCGATCAGCTCTTGCGATTGCTGACCGAGGCTGACCGGCGCCAACCAACTCCAAGCCAAAAACATTAGACATAATAAGTGACTTTCCTTTGACGCCGACTGACGCCGATTGTTTCTGACTGACATCAACCATCTTTACTATTTCCGGATGGATGCTGACCGACGCCGACTGTCTCTGACCGACTCCGACAGATACCGACTGAATCCGACTCTCCTCAGCCATTACCGAATGTCGCCGACTGACATTTGCATATGGTTCTGAACCACACCGAAGGACGGCTTACCGACTCCGACCTCTCCGACCAATTCTCGTTAACAACGACTGTCTCTAGCCGACTTCAGCCGACTACAACGGCTGCCGACCGTTTCCAACCGCTTTCAGCCGACGCCAGCTGCCTCCGACCAACCGCGGCGGACGTCGAGCGGCGCGCGAATCCCAGCAGCCTCCGACCTCCTCCGTCCGACTCCCGACCGTGCACATCGGCTGGTCACGTGACGAGGCCCTCCAGCAACACGTGCCGGATCCCCGCCGTGAAAATCGCGCCGAAAGCGTTCCTTTGAAGAAGATCAAGGACGGTCGGGCCGTAATCATGGCGCCATTACCGATGGAAATGATAGCAGATTATATGGCTGATTGTAAAATATGTAGAAATGTTCCGCTTCCTTCGGCTGATTGTCACAATTATCGTGATTGTTATCATCACTGCTAGTTTTTCAAAAGATATTATTAGTTTCAGCTTTATCCAGAAGTAATGAGGGTAATATTTATACCTATTCTGATATCACTATCTTTTCTATATCATCACTTTCGTTATTATTATTATTATCATCACCATTTTGTCATTATCATTATCACCATTAACATCAACAACCACACATACACAACTAAGATGCAGGAATTTTTCATCATAGATATCATTATCAATCATCATCATCATCACATTATCTTCCGTTTTGTGTATCAAATACAATTCCCTCTCGTATGTTACCTCTATTTACTCACTTCATCCACTAACACTACGCCTAGTAATCTGACATGACAGTCATTTACATGGCAATTACATTGTCTCATGCTTCGTTGAGAGTATGGAACGTGGTTTAATCAGTGTTGCATTTTTTTTTTTCGTTGTGTGTGTGTGTGTACTTTCTGTGTTCTCGCA